TGGATGGATGAATCAATACTTTACCCTCTCAAGTGAGAGGGTATTTATAGCCCCCAGCATTTGGCCAGGGTCTTATGTAATGGGCCATGATGAGGCCCAATAATGAATACTGTCAGGGTTTATAGGGTGTATGGAGTCTAGCATGTGGCCTCATCCCTGGTCAACTGCCCCGAGAAAGATGGGAAGTTGGACCCGTTATTCTCAGAGGACAGGATGACGATGTTATGGACACATGAGTCATATTCTCCTAGTGGACACGTGGGGAAATTCCCAATAGTCCTTAGTTTGGGCTTCATGCTTTTGGGCCTCTGTAAAGGTGCTAGATTGATCCTACCCAATTGTGGGGCAAGTGCCATCCCAGTCTAGAACAGGAGCCTCCCAAGTTATTGCCATTAGGCGAAGGGTTATGACTTGAGATCAATTCAAGTGTCGGGGAAGTGTTGCACGAGAGGGGAAACTCTCAACTCCCGTCGGGGACAGCTGTGTGATTCACGTAGAGGGGGACTAAAAATTTTGCATGTGGTGTGGTCGACCAGTCCAGGGAGAAATTCATTGGTCGACTTCATCTTCTGCTCACATTAAGACGATGCTCGTTAAGGACCTAAATTCGCGGGTACGTGAGGAGTTTCCTCGAGTGCGCGTCTTTGATGTACCCATATGTAAGGCATTATAATGATGTCGAGCTCTTGCCCGCTAGTGGAATGGTGTAGGCGCATGGTTTTGAGTGAGACTATTGTATGTGACATGTCCTCTCGCGAGCCCCACGTGGCAGCTGTTTGGGGTGCCATCATTATATAGGTAGTCTAAGAGTCCAAGTAATGATGACTTTTCACATGCTAGCTCGTGAGGTGGGAGCTATCTATAAAAAGGGGAGTCAGGAGGTTCATTTGTTATTTTCACGCTCTCTCTTCTCCTCTATTATATGTTTTCCTGTGGATCTGCTACTCCAACACAATCATAGACGTCTTCAACGATAATCTTCTCCAAGTAAGTGATTTCATCTTGATCGTGTTTTTTCTTAGATTTTTTAGATTAAACACTTGGGTTTTACCATGAACGGATGAACCTTTGGGTGAAGATTCATGGGTTCTGAAATGAATCTCCATGGATGTTCAGCTAAGTTCATGGATCTGGATGAAGATTCATAGGTCCATAATTTCATTATGACTTACATCAGGGTCGTCCCCCCAAATAGAGGGGAGGATTGGGCAACTTGCCCGTTCGATTAAATGTCCCTACGTAGGGCGTCAACCAATTTGGTGTTGGCTGTCGAGGGCTTGGGTCGAGGTCCATTCATCGATGCATTCATCGCCCTTTCACTTGATTTATGGTGGAAGGGTGAATTTGATGATGTCAAATTCACTGTTTTCCCCTGCTTTTTAGGTACGATGGCACAACCGGTCGAGGAAGACATCGTGCCTGATGCTAATGAGGGTGATACTGTGGTTGTGGACGATCCATTGGCTTGGGTCGTGCCCGAGCCTCAGAATAAAAGGTTGTGTTTTTCGCATGATGCTTCTGATGCGTTCAATGTCCCCAAGGACCAAGCAGAGGGTGCCCCCACCAACTGGGTGCTTCAAATCCCTCATAGAAGTCAAAGGATATGCTCGACATTCCCTAGAAAATGCTTCCCTTTGTACGAGTTTGCTTTTAAAGAAGCGGAGATGCATTTTCCCTTCAACAATTTCCAAGTGGGAGTTTTCCAATGGTTGCAACTGGCACCTTCGTAGCTTCATCCGGACCCACTCGCATTTATGCGAGTGTTCAAGCTAGTATGCCAATATCTCAAGATTGGTGCCACTTTGACCCTCTTTTTTTTGTATCTTTCACCTACAACAGCAGAGCATTGGAAGGAGACAGATTTGGGTGTCGTTCAAATAGTTCGAAAAACTCTTTTGGCCGTACCTTGAATCTGTGTGCAACTTCAAAGAGAGGTATTTCTTCGTGAAGCCTCTTACTGATGCGGTCGTGGATTCTTTGTACGATCGCTCGAAATATGTCGAGGGTGGTCGGGTAGTGGCTCGATTGATGGTAAAGTTTCCTCTTGAGTGGCAATGGAAACATTTTGAGCAGAAACCTGAGTATTATGCAGTGAAGCCCGGGGACTTAGATGTCCATGATAAGCTCTGTTACGATAAGCTAGTGGCCTTTGTCAAGAGCTTCTCCCCAACAAAGTGTGTGGATATAGACAATAACTTCCTCTTTGACGATAAAGGGTAGCATCTCTTTATTCCCCGACTGATTAACACGAAAGCGGTCCTCGAGTGCTCCTCTAACGAGGAGGCTTTGAGACTTCTAGGTAGGGGACGTGCCCATAATTTTATGTTTGTACTTTTGTCTTTAGGACTAATATTTTCTTGTTGATTGCAGACCAGATGAAGACCCTCTCCGAACATTTGCTCAAGTTAAGGCCCAAGAATGCATCCAACTTAAGGCCTAAAAATCGGGTTGCTCAGCTTCAGGAACATGCCAAAACTTCTGCCTGTCCAAGCGGTTCATCTTCCCCTCTAGGGACCCAGGCCCCCCTCCCGAACAACCGACAAAAAGGAAACACGTGGAAGACCCCGAGCATGTGGCATTTGTCGAAGGGGACACGGGTGCCAGGGTGGTTTTCATGTTTCCTCCCTGTTATCTCAATCGGGGTATCTTCAGCGGGGAGAGTTCCTTAAGTACCCATGAAGAGGAGAGGGAAGCTATATTGTCCTAGGACAATGAAATCCAACATAAGAATCTGTCAGAAGATGTGGCCGCCGTGATGAGGGTTCTTGAAACAGCTTTGATGTTGAATGATGAGGTTGCGAGCTCCCAGGACGCTCTTGATAAAGCATATGTCTGAATCCAAAAGTTGAACGGAATTAATGAAAAGCTGAAGGGTGATATTCTCAACCATGAGATGAAGTACGAAGCGTAGGTATAGCTCCTCAATGATTTGAACGAGTTAAGGCCTCAACTGGAGGCTGAGACTAAGGAGAACGAGCGATTGGACGCTCGGATAAAGGAGTTGGAGGAGATCGTGGTGCCTGCTGATGAAGAGACTGACATGGAGAAAGCCCTTTAGACTATGAGAGATTTGATTGCTCGGAATCATGTGATCGAGCAGGACGTCAGGGACACTCTCAGTTATGGCTTCAACACGGCTATGGAACAACTCAAGATCCTTAACCAAGGGGTCGGGGTGATGGTCGAAGTTGCAGGGCCGTTTAACCAGGTGGTCGACTGGAATATATTTTGTCCCCCGAGGACAATCCCGGCGAAGAGAGTGACATCGAGGATGATGAGAGCCGAGATTAAGTTTATGGGCCTGCGTGCCCATTTATTTATTTGTCCTACATGCCAGTTTTTGTTTTCACCTGGATTAGAGGTCTGTGTACCCATATTATTGTAAATTTATTGACAAGGGCTTCACCCGATTAACTTTTGTTCGGGTCTGCATGCCCTATGTTTTATAATATTTGGACAACGTCGATCTCCATGGTCAGCTCTTGTAGATGCCTTTATTTCGCCTTTCTATTGTATGTTAGATATTTACTTGTCGTTATGCTTGATTTATTTGATAAGTGGAGGTTTATGCTCGACCTTAGTTGTGGTCTATACATGTTAGGATGTGTTGAGGAAGTGGAGTAGGAGTTCGTATGGTTAAGGTCAAGATAGCGGTGGGTGTCTTTACTTCGTGGCATGAACTTCCCATTGTGAGCTGGGTGTTCTGCCTGTTGGGTACTTCGACGGTGGATCTCGATCGTGGTGTCCCCGTTGGGCTAAGGTTCTGCTCGACCAATGAGCACAAACCCTCCTTTCATTATTGGTTGGAGGCTATGTTCGTACCTAAATATGATTCTATGGTCGAGCTAGCCCTATCGTTTGTCGGAGAGGGTACGACGACTATCGGGCCCTGACGTTTATCAAGGACCTAGCTGTGATATTATTTTAGCTTTGTAGTGTTCCATGGTCGAGGTAGTGGTTCTCCACTTAGGCGTTCGAGGTGATAAGTGTCATACCCCAAATTTGTCCTACCCTCATATCTTCTCTTCTGGCATACTGCATTTCATTTGCATACTTTCATTAGGTCATTAGCATAACACGACATTTCCATCAGTAAAGTACAGTGGTTTAAGAGCTCAGTTGGTTGTGCAACATCAGGGTTTTACAGTGGTTAAGGTGTGTATCCAATAAAGTCTGTTTCTTCTGGTTCTTCAAGCAGTAAATTGTGAGATTATGGTTATAAGGTTTGGTTACCAGGAATCCCTTCTTCAATGGCTATTAATCATCTACTTCTATCATTGCCAAAGATTAGGTTTATTTCCCTACATCAGGTCAATAGAATCTTGGTTTCTATTTAGAGTGTTTGAGCAATGGCTTTAATTCTTTCAACTGAGGTTTAAAGATTTAGGGTTGTTTTATTGGTACTAAAATTTATGACTGAGATTATTTTGGATCAGAGTTTAGTTTCACCATCTCAAGTTGTATTCTCTTTCAAAGTGCGTCTCAGGTTAGGGAGATTAGGGTTTGTACTTATCATGTTTGAGCTTGTTAGCATTCATTAATTGAGGATCTTTTGTTTATTATTTTCATGACAAGTATCTCTCTATACTTCAAGCCTCATTTGGTACGAGATTTCCTCAAGACAATGTTTTTGTCCAGGCAAGGTATTTTGTGATTGGAATCGAATTATGGTACAAAATTTGAAGATGTGTATTTGTTTTGGATCAAGACCATCTCTATTCTCATCAAGATTGACTTTTGATTAAAGTCACTTTGACTTTCACGATTGGCCATTACTACACCCTTTTGGTTATTTCAGTTCATATTACAATGGGTCGTGGATTAAAGTCGTTTTTCAAGCATTTCATTCGAGATAAAATCTAAATCACACAAAGTGGAGGGAATGGTTCCATTATTTGAAAGCAAGTTACAAAGGCTAACGTTCATGTACAACTTCCATTGCAGATTTCAAATTCATTATAAATACCTTGACATTTACAACTACAATTCTAAGTTCACAATCAAAATTCCACTAAAAAAGGGATCCAAATGTCATACAATTGCCAAACTTCAAGAACTTTACAAATAAACAAATTACATAGAAAATTTCTAAAGCCAAAAACAGTTCTAGCAGCCTGGTGAAAATCTGCATCGAAACCTTGATCAAAACAACTCCAAAGCTTTGCCTCACCAAGACCAAATCGAGCATCAAAAAACCTGCACAATTTAAAGCCCTGCATCATGTATAAAATCATGTTCACAAAGCAATTTCAAACAAAAAATCAGACTAAGCAATATTGCAGCATTTGTTAAATAAACTAGAAATTGGGAGAGTTAAATTTATCCAGTACAAACCCAAGCCCAATCTAATGATGCAGTCCAACATAACACAAAATCAGAAGAAATAGTAGAATTTTAGAAAATATCATGATAACTCACAATCTCACGGTTTCCTCCACCCTTTCCCACAAAATCAGGGATTAATGCTTATCCAATTCCTCTTGTTCTTATCCTAATTCCCATTTTAATCTCTATTATACCCTCACTCCAATTGTCCTATAAATAATCCCCTTATCCCTCTCATTTCACACAAAATTCACCTAATATTATTCACCCAACAAATAACCAACAATACACACCAAGAATCACGATTCAAAAATTCATACACACAAAAAATTCAGAAAAAACTCACCAAAAATATTTCTCTCTGGCAACTGAGTATTCATCACATTCATCTTCGTCCACCATCCTAGAAATTTCCATCAATTATCTTCATAATCTTTGTTTCATATTTTGCAACTTTGCATCATCATCGCACCAGCATCATCTGTGAATTGCTGTATTATCACCATCATTCAACAATCACGCAAATCTTCACACACCTTCAACCTTCAATCGAGAACCGCAGCTCAGACATCGCAGAAGAAATTCAAATCAAATAAAAGAGCAGAGAGATAAAGAAATCGATACCTGAAAGCATCTCTGAATTTTTATTTTGTTCTTGATGACTGCAAAACACCATCGGAGCGTCTCCAATAGGTAACCTATAAAACTTTTAAACTATCTTCGTTTGTGTTGTCATATGAACCATGTAAGTGCCAACTATGTAAATCCGTGACCTGAGCAGTCTTCTTCGCAAATTCGAATTGCGTCAGAAGAATGATTGAAACAAATCTTGATCCGGATGTGATACGAACTGAGATAAGCTGTGACGAAACAGCGGAGCGAGTCATGAAGGTGGTGATTTGCGAAGGTTGTGAACAGAGATAAGGCGGACGGAGACGGAGATCACCAGAGGAAAAGGAGTTCGCCACGCCGGTTTCGTGTGAAGAAGAAGAAGAACTCGTGAAATATGCAACAATGACATCTCTAACCCTAATTCCTCTTTTCCATTTTTCTTTTAATTCAACAAACAACTTAATAGTTTATAAAATACAAAAATTCTGAAGTAATCAATGTTGGTTGTTGGGTCGGGCCCCAATTGTAAGGTATGTCAAAGAAAGATGGTGAATCCTTTAAAGAGTATGCCCAGAGGTGGCGTAGCCTAGCTGCAAGGGTTCAGCCTCCACTCCTTGACTGCGAGTTAGTTGATTTGTTCATGGGTACTTTGAAAGGGCCATATCTTCAACATTCAATCAATAGCACTTCTTTGTCCTTTTCTGACATAGTGATTATTGAGGAGAGGGTTGAAATGTGTATAAAATTTGGTTTAATTCAGAACACAACTAGTGCTAATGGTAACAACAACAGTTCTAGCAGTGGAAAGAAACCATACTTTGGAAGTGCTAAGAAAAAGAAGGGTGAGTCAAGTCATATTTCTGATGATAAAAGAAAAGCTCCAGCCATCCATTTTCCATATCACTCAAGTCCTGCTGCCGTTTCACATCCAGTATATGCTGCAAGTGCTCTTCAACCATGGGTGGCTTCACAACAGCCTTTCATTCCACAACAACAACCAATGGTTCAACGACAACCACTAAAACAACAACACCAACAACATGAACAACGTTATCACCAAAATCAAAGGTTTCAAAACTAGAAAAGACCAAGGGACTACCCTCCTAAGAGAGTTGATCCTATCCCTATGCTATATGCACAACTCTTACCATAGTTGCTTGCCGGTAATTTGGTTCATTTGAGGGAACTTGGACCACCTCCCGAGGTTCTTCCTAGGGGATATGATGCCAATGTGAATTGTTAATTTCACTCAGGTGCTCCTGGTCATTTTACAGAAAACTACAGATCCTTAAAACAAAAAGTTCAAGAACTTGTAGATGCTAAAGAAATTTCCTTCACTCCAGTAGGCCCGAATGTTCAAAACAACCCTATGCCACCACATGGAGGGGCAGCTGTAAATGCTATTTTAGTTGAGGAAGAACTAGTGTTCGCGACTGTTGTTGATGAAATCAAGATACCATTCTCCAATGTTAGGGGGTTTCTACTACAATAAGGGGGTTTGCAAGATCTTCATAACTTTTGTCTACAATGCTCTAATGATCCAGAAGTATGTGGAGATCTTAAAGAAGCTATTCAACAGTTAATGGATAAGGGTGTACTCCAAGTTGAGAAAGTTCCTTCCAGAGGTGATGTTGCGGTATTAGATATACTTTACTACCCAATGCCAAGAGTCCAGAATGCTCCATTGATAATATAAGTCTCTACCACTACTAATACTCCACTAGTCCAGACTCGACCTACTCCTCTATTAATTCAGGATTCTACCAATCCCACTCATGCCCAAGTATTAGTTCCTCATGCTTAAGTTTCAGTTGTTTCTCTAACAGTCCAGACTTTGCCTTTTTCATCTCTTGTTGTTACTCCTCATGTTGATTCAAGAGTTGTCCCTTATGATTACAATGATGTGTACATCCAAGGACAGAAGGTGGATTATCCTCCAGTAGGTGTTACGAATATTTCCAACATTGTGGGAACCAATGGTATTACCCATAGTGGTAGAGTTTTCGCTTCAACTCTTGCATGTCCTCCAAAAGAAACTGGTAATGATGCTTTGGTTCAAGACAAAGGAAAGCAAGTGATGGATACCCTTGATGAAATTTTGAACAAGAGACATAACAACTTTTGAGATTGATAAAGAGAAGTGACTTCAAAATAGTGGAGCAGCTTAATCATACTCCTACCAATATCTCTATCTTGACTCTTATGTTATATTCTGAAGCATAATGTAATGCTCTCTTAAAGGTTCTAAGCAAATCTCATGTGATTCCCGACATTACTTTTTCTCAATTTGAAGGGATCGTGATCAATATCTCTGCAGGCAATTGTTTGGGTTTTTATGATGATGAACTTCCCCCGAAGGAAGAGCCCACAATAAAGCTTTGCACATCTCTATTAGATCCCTGGATATTGTGTTATCATAAGTTTTGGTAGATACATGGTCATCTCTCAATGTGATGCCCGAGAAGACGTTGTTTAAACTGAATTTAGATGGGGTAATAATGAGGCCCAGTGCTTCATATGTGCAAGCATTTGATGGATCCTGGCGAACCATAGAAGGGGAGGTAGACTTGTCTATCAAGATTGGACCCCATGTGTTTTATCTATCCTTTTATGTCATGTGTATTTTCCCTTCTTACACTTGCTTTTAGGAAGACCATGGATTCACGTGGCAGGAGCTATAACTTTGACTCTCCATCAGTGCCTGAAATTCGTTGTTGGTGGCAAGATTGTCGTGATTGGTGGAGAAGAGGATGTAGTAATCAACAATGTGACTTTCTTCCGATACGTCGAGGTCAATGGATAAGTACAAGAAACTCCTTTTCAAGCTCTTGAGATTGAGTCAGTTGAGATGTTTCCATTTGTTGATGAAAATAAGAAACATGAGAGTCCACTATCTTCTTTTAACGATGCTAGAGCCTTGTTGGAATCTGCTAATCCCCATGATTGTTGGGGAAAAGTGATTGAAGTAACAGACAAAAACAATAAACGTGGTCTTGGCTATTAGCCTTCCTCCCAAAACAGTTCATATTCTAAAGAAGCACATATTCCCCCAATCTCCGAGATACTCACAAGTGCTGGTACAAGTCATGGAGGGCAGGTCCTGGAAGCAGATGATGAAGTTGGAGATGATACATACATTTCTCAGTTTATCTACCAGATTGTACCAGATCAGGAGCTCGACAATTGGACCGTCATGGATGTTCCAAAAGTTTCTTTCTATGAAGTGTAATTTTCTTGATTCAGAAGTCATATGCTCTGCCCAAGTCATATTGACAGCTTGTAGAAGGGCCCCCTTTGTTTCAATCATTGCTTAATATGGAATAAAAATCATTTTTCGCACACAAATTTTTAATCTTTGTCTTTCAATTTTTACTTTTGTTGTTTCTTTTTTCAAAATGGAAATGCATTTCCTCCCTTTTCTAAAATAGAGCATGATTCATTCAAACATGCAGATTCGCCTCAATTCCCATCAGAAATGATGATGTTATATTCCCTGACATCAATATCCTTGAGAATCCGAATGACCAAGCTGATGAAGATAGTGGGGAAGATTGCGATGTTCCTGAAGAATTGGCCAGACTTGTAAGACAAGAGAAAGTTGTCCTGTCTCATCAAGAAGACATAAGGATCATCAATATTGGTACTAAACAAGTGAAGAGGGAAATCAAGATAGGTTCCGATTTGTAAGACGGTGTAAAGAAGAGGTTAATTAAGTTGCTTCAAGAATATGCTGATATATTTGTCTGGCCGTATGAAGATATGCATGGTTTAGACACTAACATAGTTGTACACAAGTTGCCACTAAAGCCAGAATGTCCTCCTATAAAACAGAAATCGCACCGAACTCGACCAGATATGTCTCTCAAGATCAAAGAAGAAGTTAAAAATCAACTTGAGGTGGGGTTTTTAGCTGTGGCTGAGTATTCTTATTGGATTACAAACATCGTGCTTGTTCCAAAAAAAGATGGAAAGGTACGTATGTGTGTGGAGTATTGAGACTTGAACAAAGCGAGCCCAAAAGATGATTTTCCGTTGCCTCATATTGACATCTTGGTTGATAGCACAACTCAGTTTTCGGTATTCTCTTTTATGGATGTTTTTCAGGCTATAATCAGATAAAGATGGCTCTAGAGGACATGTTGAAAACAACATTTACTACTCCTTGGGGGTACTTATTACTGCAAGGTCATGCTTTTCAGATTGAAAAATGCTGGTGCAACATATCAAAGAGCTATGGTTGTTATCTTTCATGATATGATTCATAAGGAAATCGGGGTGTATGTCGATGATATGATTGCAAAGTCACAAAAGGAAATAGAACATTTGGTCCATCTTCAGAAGTTATTTGATCGATTACGAAAAATCAAGTTAAGGCTTAACCCAAATAAGTGCATATTTGGGGTGTGATCTGGAAAGTTATTTGGTTTTATTGTGAGTCAAAGAGGAATTGAATTTGATCCCGACAAAGTAAGAGCAATAAAATACATGCAAACACCAAAGAATGAAAAAGAAGTCAGAGGGTTTCTTGGGAGATTGAACTACGTTTCTAGGTTCATTTCTCATCTCACAACTACTTGTGAACCCATTTTTAAATTGCTGCACAAGAATCAAAAAGTACATTGGAACGACAACTGCCAAGAAGCCTTTGAAAAAAATTAAACAGTGTCTACAGGAGCCACCGATCCTTGTTCCACTAGTACCTGGGAGGCCACTCATCATGTACTTGACGGTATTGGAGGGATCTATGGGTTGTGTGCTTGGACAACATGATGAAACGGGACGCAAGGAGCATGCCATTTACTACTTGAGTGAAAAGTTTACAAATTGTGAATCAAGATATTCCCTTCTTGATAATACTTGTTGTGCTCTTGCCTTGGCTGCTCGACGCTTGAGGCAATATATGTTGACACATACAACACTCCTGATTTCTAAGATGGACCCATTAAAGTATATTTTCGAGAAACCAACTCTCACGGGCAAATTGGATCGGTGGCATATGTTGTTGTCTGAATATGACATTCAATATGTTACGCAGAAGGCTATTAAAGGTAGTATTCTTGCTGATCATATTGCTCACCAGCCATTGGAAGAGTATCAGTCAATGAAGTTTGATTTCCCATATAAGGATGTTCTGAAAATAGACAAAGATGGAGAATCTGAACCAGGGGAGTGATGGACTCTCACATTCGACGGTGCATCGAATTCTTTAGGCCATGGCATTGGGGCTGTTTTAGTTTCTCCTCTCAATATCATATACCTTTCACAGCCAGTCTAT